AAAAATAGGGTGGGGGGGGGGGGGGGGCGGGAGGATGGTGAGAAGAAAAAAGTAAGTGTTCTTCTCCAGCTGTGTACTGAAAGGGCTCCCAGACTTTATGTTAGAATGGTTGTTTACTGCACATAGGAGTCAGTAGAATGAGGTTCCTCTCAGAATGAGAGGAGTAAGAGGACAAAAGGGATTGGATGATACATCCAGAGCTATAAATGCAGCAGAGACTGGAGGTTTAATTAATGAATAGTACAATTCCATATGGGTGCAGCATGATTGCATATCCTTCCATTACATATCTCAGTCCCCTTCCTGCAAGTATCCCAATATTCCTAGACAAAGCAACTACCCTTGGCATCTCTTTGATCTGTGGGGTTTTTATTCAGTGAATTCTGCTCTGATCCAGGCTGCCAATATCTTTTTTTCTCAAATAATTTTTCCTCAGTCTGCTACTCTCTTAAGACTGCCTCTTTTTTTCTCATTTTTCTCCTCTGCTATCTATATTTCTGGGAAATAGTGAAAGTGTTTGAAGATTGATGCACTATCAGAAAAAATGAGGGAAATAAGTGCCTGGACAAAGTATAGTTACTACACTTCAACAGAACGTATTTGTGTTTTGTCTGTTTGTTGTAAACAGCATTTTCCTCAGTCTGGTGAAAGCTGAAGATTTAGATGATGTTCTGTCACAGCCTGGACAATGGACTCTGTTTGTTCCAACTAACGATGCCTTTAAAGGTTTGACTGATGATGATAAAGACATATTGATAAGTAAGTAACATAAGAAAATTAGAAATATAAGCAAAGGTAAAATCAATGGCTAGTGCATTTCTTACACAAAAGATGTCTGATAAAACAGTTTACCTTTTGCATAGAGCAAGTCATAGGACTTCCCTAAATTAATTCCTTCTTGGGGGATAGAGAAAATATCTTTTTGGAAAAAAACATGCAAAGTGAATTTAAATTTAAATTTCAATCCTTGATGTATTATTCCAAGGTGTAATTACCTTCCAAGTTAAAACCTGCGTTCATTTAATTAGCTTCAACTTTTCATCATTCAACCTTGCTATAGATTTTTTAGTCTCTTATATCATGTTTCTTTTCTAGTTGTGACCATTGTGTTAAAAGATATGTAGTATTGACTTTCCTATCTTTCCTTTCCTTCCTCTCCTCTGCCTCCACCCAGTGATCTCTGATATCACCTGTGCCCTACAAGCTAAATATTAAATATATATTTCTAAATGCCAGTTTATGTAGTTTTTTTCCATCTTACACTTCAGAATTATGTAGATTTATAGTATATATATAGTTTTATATATATATATAGTGTGTG